TGCCACCCCCCCCAGCCCAGCCCCGCCCCGCACCGCCCCGCCCCGCCCCTTTCCCTTCACAGAATAGATTGATATTTGCCTGCCATGCTGGGGAGCCAGTGATCCACACGCTTGGCTGAGATCCTAGCTGCATGTGCACCCCTCCCCACCCCTGCTACAGCCACCCAGAGTTCATGACTGGGCTGCTTTCTGACCCTACCCACTGCCCCGCGTTTGTGGGGACTGAGCCCCCTTAGCCCTGGCCTTCCGCTGCCTATGCTTTCCATCCACCTCAGACTGTTCCGGACAGTAACAGGTCTGCTTCAGATTGAACAGCAAACATCCAGAAGCCATCCCAACCCAATACCAGTCAGACAGCTCTCTCCTTTAGTACTACAATAATATTTCCAATGACTTAAAGCATACAGACTTTACCCAACAAATCGCCTGACAGTGCTCTTGATCTTTCCTCTGTTTTCTCATAATAACGCTATAGTTTTTGAGGCCTTTATTTTTTTGTACGGAAGATCCTTAGTTAATTATAGGGTATTTGAGGTGCTGTGTGGCTTGGGGTATACAGAAGGAGCTGAAGTGAACTCCTTTAGACTTATCTATTACATGGCTGCCAGTACACAGGACCTGCTAGTAAATGTGCTGTGGGCCCAGGCTCTCTGATTTAAGCTACTTTAAACTGGCTACAGGTGACTTTAGCAGTGTGCATTGCTGTCCCCTAACAAATGAACTGAGAACCCCTAAATTCACAAAGGCCAGCCAGCAGCAGTCAGACAAAAATAAAATTCAATCACCACTGACACAGGGTGCATGTGAATCTGTGACCCAGAGGTGAAAGGCGTTATATCCCCCATGTATATCCACTGAGCTGTCTCCCTTCTTTCTCGAATAGCATTTAATGGAAGCAATAAGAAGTGACAAGCTCATAAGAGGAAAAGAGAAGCATGTGAGCTCACAGTAGCAATGCCTGTTTTCTGGTTGTGACCCACGCCTCCATCCACAGCCCGGACAATGAGTATGTACTCTGATTTGGCCTCCCGGTCCAGCAGAGAGGTTGTAGTGATTTCACCTGCAAAAATGGAAAAGGGGAGAGGTAAGAGATTACACGTGCTAATAGTGCAACTAAAGTTCAGGAGGAGGAGGGTGGTACATGCTAGTGCATATGAGTGTAGGTAACTTCCAATGAATATGAAAGGGTGAAAAATTGTATTCTAGAGACATGAGCATGGTTTCACAGATAATCTGAGAATTGCAGATCTGGCAGAAGTGATATCATTCTATGACTTGATTTCTAAGAGACAACTCTTAATTTTCTAAGGCAGTCTTTGGAAACCCTCTGAGAGTCCACTGCATACCCTGAGAGCATGCAAGGAGACTGGTATTCTCGTGCCTCCTGGATATGTTCAAATATTTCTAGCAAGTGCTGTATTCTAAGGGATGGGGAGGGGGCATTACAGTACACAGTCATCTCCCTGACTCCTGGTGACAGAGCTGTCAATATGTGTAATTAGCAATGATATTCTACTCAAGAACTACATTAATGATGACCAGGGCCCCTCATGTAGCAACCTTGGGGAGGACCAGATTACCCATACATAACTTTACATAGTGGCACCTTCTTTCATGGAGTACTTGCTCAAATTATTCCACTTGGCACTGAGCTTGTCTATTTGTTCACTGAAATTGTGGGGTGAGGACAGACAGTCGGAGTTTGTGAATCTGCTTTAGTCTTGTCTGGAGTATTTTATGGTTCTATGCAGGCTCAGCTTTGCTGAGCTCAGCATGCATATGTCTTAACCTAGGATGTTCTATTAATTGGATCTTCAGGTAATCTATCATATTGCTGCAATGTTACCTGGCTTGAGCTCAGTGATTTTGCAGCCTTGGGATGACATCATTGTGTCTTCATGAGCATAGAGGAAAAAAATTTTGGGTATTCAAAATTCTGATTTTCCAAGAGATAAGTAGCCAAGCTTTGGTGTGATCTGGACAGAAACTTTCACCATATGGCAAGCTCACAATATGGCCATTTCTGTTGTCACTTCTTCACCCATCTGAGATGGCTATATGATACTGACTGAATCTCCTTCCTTCCCAATCCCATTTTTTTCCTGCAGTTCATTCCAAGTGATGAAAGGAGATCAGCATTAAGGATTGTTCTCCCCTACAGAGGAACTTTAATGTGAGGGGCTGTCCAGGGCAGAACTGGAGAGGGGAAATTAATCTGAATGAGAGAATGGAAAAGTTTAAAGGTCCTCTTAAAATATGCTTCCAAAGTTTTGTGGCATCAATTAATTTGCTGGCTGAAAAAAATTAATCAGGAAAAAAGTTTTATATATGAATGCGTCGTAATGATGGATCACTCCTCCTGTCCACAAAATTACATCCAATTAAGCACACCTTTACAGAGCAGGTTTGGCTAATTTAAATCAAGAACTCCTGCAGAAAGTACTTACTCCTGAAAGGCATTGGGCAGGCAGACACAGCTCTGCAGTATCATTTTTCTCCTCCCTTTCTTTTCATGTCCTTATAAATCACTCTATACTACAGGGTAACTTCATTTGAGGAAGGGCTCTGGGTGAAAGCAGGTCTGAAATCACAATGCATACTCAGAGGTTTTTTCAGAGAGCTTTTTAGCATAACACTGCCAGGACAATGTCAGCTTACAACAACGGAGGGAACTTCTTCTTAATGGTATACATTTATGTCATTGATGAGACCCAAAGTAGCCCTGTCCTTCCTTGTCCTAGACTCTAATTACTTAAAAGTGCAAGCATTAAAGATCCATTTTGTCTTTGGGCCTTTGTTTCACCGGTAACGATTCCCTCAGCCCTTAGGGAAAAAAAGATTGGATCTGGGCACCAGACAGAAGAGGTACTAGTGTCTTTACCTTGGGGACATTCTTGGTAACTCCTTAGGCTGTGCTTCTCTTACAAAATACATGTTAGGCAACACAAGAAAAGAGACAGAGAAATAGGAGAGCAGTGGAGGGAGATAATGACAAGGAAAAAAAGATGGAAGGAAGAAAAAGATATTAAAGGTGTAGACCATGAGAAAGTTGTTGGAAGGAGGAAGACAGGTGAAAAAAGGCAGAAAAAGAAAGATTGTGTGGGTAAGTTCACCTGAGCGAGCATTGATCCGGAAGTGAGAAGAACCTTCGAGCGAGTAAATAATTGACTCCTGACCGTATTCTCTGGATCGGTCCAAATCAGTGGCATTTAAGAATAGCACTGTGGCTCCTTGGAAGAGAACAGAAATGGAGAATGAAAGATGCAAGTTCATTAGCACACTGACCTGGTGAAGGGGCCAGAAAGCAAAGCATCCACAGAACACCTGAGGCAGCTACCTCATGGTCATGGCAAACCACAAAGCACTGTGACATCTACTCCCAGTCTGTCTGTGAGGTCTAACTCTTCCCTCACACTAAGTGCTCCGTCCCTCTGAGCTGCCTTGTCGTATTATTGGCAGCTCTAACACCCAATTCAAGCTTGTCACTGTATCCAGGAATCCCAAGGTGAAGACTTAATCATTTGCCAGCTCTTAAAGAGAGCATACAAGCCCACAGGGATTTTAAATGTTGTGTGTTAATGTTAATCCAAAGGAAGGAAAGCTGTGTGAGCCACCTCTGGCTGGACATGTAATCGCTAACATCCACAAGCTCAGTCATGACCAGCAAGCAGTTCATGATGGGTTTGCTACTTACATGCCTCAGGGGAGAGCTGACAAGGATAAACTCTTTAACAAAATGGTATTTAACTTTGAGGGGATTTAAGTGTCATGTTAAGGGCCTTTTGGTTGCATAGCTGGAAGGAATCAAGGATGCTGTTGCTTTCACAAGTTGCTTTCTCTGTAAGACAAGGGCATGAACTGTATGGGAAAGGGAGTGGAGGGGGAGGGAGGAGGAAGGACATGAGTTCCCAGTTCCTCTTAGAAGAGACATGTTTACATTTTTGCCACAGGTTTTCTCTAGCCCTGGGGTTTCCACTGTATAAACTCAATTCAAACACCTGCTTGGCTTTTATATTTACCAGGACAGATAGGAACTGAGCAAGCCTTGCTAATATACAGGTACAGCATGCAGAGACATGCCAAGTGGAGGTGCTTTCAGAGTTCTTTGTGCTAGTGCTACCATGCAAGGTGGAGAAATAAGAAATATTTCTTCAGCCAGTGCTCCTTAGAGAGGTGGGGTAGGGTGGGGGACAGAGCAATATGCCATCACTTCTGAGTATCCAAGAGGGAGTATATCTGGACAGGCCCCCCACTCCCATACAGGTACTGACCAATCTTTGGAGAATGGCATTGGGAGGAATGGAAACAACTCCTTTCCTCAGCAATATAGCTATTTATGTCATTTGCCCTATTGCCCCCAAGTTAGTGTTTCTGGAGTTACTAGGTGCCTGTATGTGTGCGGGGACGCTGCTCCAATATGCTGTAATTGTGGTGCGATGGAGCAGACTTGATTAAATCGACTCTGCTGCAGTGTGCTAATTAGAGTGTCCCAGCAGCCTCTGTGTCTCGTGTATTCAGCACCTCTGTGCTTCAAAACGGTGGCAGAGGTGCTTTAACTGAAGCTCCTTTGACATTTGACGAGCTGCTTAATAAAAGTGCCCCTACCCCCACAGCATGTGTAAAGACATCCATTATGCCTGCCCATGCCAAAGCTTGGCACAGTGCTATGGATCAGCACAGCTCAAGGGGTATACCTCCCCCATCCCATCCCTTATGACAATGCAGCTCAAGGAGCTTTCACTCAATCTCACATATACCAAAGATCCTCATCTGTCACCTGAAGATTTTAAAAAGCACCCAGCATTGGCCTGACCTTGCTCCTAATGAATTAATTCCCATTGCAGTTCACCCTTGACTCCAGTGGGAACAGAGTTAGGCCAGGATGCCTGTAAATGCCTTCATGGACATGTTCTGTAGGAGTCAGATGTAACGCATGCATTTGTTTACAGAATTTACAGCAGGACTCATCTGCTGGCATCTGGATGTTGAGCAACTTTCACTAAGAACCTGTACAACTCACTGTTTCAGCCTATGCATCTCACCACTGAGGATGTGAGCCTGTCTGTATGCTAGCTACGAAACCTGGCTCTGTAGCTGAAGCTGTGGAGACTTAATTCTTTTAGTTCTAGAGATCTCTAGTTCTGTTTCCACAGTTGGCTGAAATAAAGCCTGCCATACATGCACATGGTAACCTATTCACTGGTGTCAGGACCAGTTGCCTATTGTTAATCTATGTGCAATCCCAAATATCAATCCAAGCAGGCAAAGAGACTGACTTCTATTGTGTCTTGAAGAGTAATGGTTGGGATCTGCTGGATGAGAGAAAAAGATTCTCAGAACCAAGGGCCTCTCCAGAGAATACCCTTCCTCCAACACAATCCCCAACCCTGTCTATGAATTAGTACTTATGAGCACCCTAGGTGTCCCAAGCTGTTACAATTGTACACGTTGAGTAGCATGACACAGGAACACAGGTAGCTTGTGTATCTGCACTATGTGTTAATGCGTCACGTATGCATTGAAATTGAAATAACTGCTCATTAGGCAGCCAGTTCCTTCTCTGTAAGAAACAGAACTTGTTTCTTACAAGATCCTGGAATTTCCTGTCCAGTCTTTAAGCTCTTTTAGAATCTAGGCCCATCTCCACACTGGCCCAGCCAATTGCCATATAAAAACACTACTACATCAAGGCCAGGAAGGTAACCCACAGGACAACCACAGGAACACACTCCCTGTACCTGCCATAATGTCCTCCATGACAGTGATGGCGTAGGATGGCTTGCTGAATGTGGGCGGATTGTCATTTTCATCCTACAGTGAAAAGAAAAGGAAATGTAAGACACTGACTTGGAAAAAGCCAACAAAAAACAGCAAAATTGATTCTTCATTCCCTTCTGAAGGGAGCACCACTATTGTTTGCAGCACAACGAGGAAAAAGATAATCCTGTGGTTAAGGGAACATGTGGTGCCCATTCTAGCCACTTTCGGTCCTATGCAGCATGTGGCATGCATTCTGGACTGGTGGAGGTGGGTGCTGTTTGCAGTGCAGAACCTGGAGCAGCCAGAACAGGTTGTGGTGCAGAGTGGCTGGGGTGGGTGTCGTGTGTAGAGCTGCTCCCACACAGGCTGGAAGAGGTGCCAGTGCCTCCTGGCCTGTCCGGGACCATGTTGCACATGGTGTCCACTCCAGCCGGTCTCGAGATAGGGAGGGATGAGGCCTGTTGTGTCCCAGACCAGCTGGTGGTGGGGAGGGATGGCGCAACATGTGTGTGTGCCTGGGCCTGTCAGTGCATGCAAGTCAACTCAGATCCAGGGCCAGCACGGGGGGACCAGATCACAGGACTTCCTGGATTTAGGTAGCAGACAAAGATCAGGGAAATCTGTACACTGACTTCTTTCGCAGTTTTGATCAAATTATGGCACTTGCAGTACCCTGGCTTCTTCATCTACAAAACAGTGGCAATATTATCCCTCTAACAAGGTGTTGCAATGCTTAATTAGCTACAATAGGACAGCAGTTTGGAGATGAACAGAGCTATGCAAATGTTCAGCGCAATTACCTGCTAACTGTCTAGAGGATGTGCACACACTGAGGAAGAAGATTCACTATTTTGAACATTTCTTTTCTTTTCCATTGTTGCCAATACCCACATAAAGAGTTCAGTTCTCCCCTGACCCTAAACTAGACTTCGAACAAGAGTGAGGGATGGTGCAGGCAGAAGCAGATTAATGTGGCTCCCTGATTCTGCATCAGCCTCAGGCCTTATGTCAGTGGAGCAGAAAACACTGGCACAGTACAACATGGTTCCATCATGCTCCCTGTCCCCATGGAAGGGATGAGGAATGCAGATCTAGGAAGGGAATCAGCTCCAGCAGCTTTATGCCAGCAGGGAGTTCATCTCCACTGGGCAGAATTCTCTGCTTACCCCTTTGGGCCCAAATCTGGTCAATAGGAGCCACTTAAGTGTGGAGTGCCAGAAGCAGAAATGAGATTGGATCAAAAGCATCTTTTCTATTGACTCCTTTCACCACTCATCCCACAAGGACACATATTTCAAACAGAAGAGAAGACAGCATGGGCTCTGGATGCACACGTCAGTGAAGATGTTAGCAGGAATGCCATCATTAACTGCCTCAGCAGAGCCCCTGAGATTCTAGAAAAGTAGTGCCTTTTTCTCATTTCCTAACTGACCCCACTTCTGAGCTTTGGGAAGAGATGGGATGGGAGACTGACATACAGAATCCCAAAAGGATGCCACATCTGATTTAAACCTTGCTGGGGTCATTTGACCCCACTACTCTTTTCCTGCCATGGCAGGGGATCAGACTTGATGATCTGCTCAGGTTCCTTCCGACCCTACTAATTATGAAACTATGAAACATTTCCAATTAAAATAGGCCTTGGGCTGTAAACTGATTTCTCTCTTCTACTCCCTGTGGCATCTTGCGAGTTTCTCCACCTCTACTATACAGTGTGAGAAGGGAAAGAAACTTCCCCAAAATAATACAAGCTAAATCCCCTTCTCCATCTCCTCCTTAAGAATACCACACCAGGATTTTATTATTTAGGACAGGGGTGGGCAAAATGCAGCCTGCGGGCTGGATGCAGCCCACCAGACCATTCTGTCTGGCCCGTGGGGCCCCTAAAAAATTTAGAAAATTAATATTTATTTGCCCCTGGCTGCCTGTCATGCGGCCCTTGATGGCTTACCAAAACTCAGTAAGCAGCCCTCTGCCCGAAATAATTGCCCACCCCCGATATAGGATCTCACTGGTTAATGAAAGGTGATTTTTGAGGGGTCTTGTTCTCTCTTAATCTTTACAAAACAAGCTTAGCTGACTCTCAGTTACACAACAAAGGTAGTAGTCATGACGCTCTCCCCACACCTCCAAAACACCTTTATTTTTCCTAAAGGAATGTTAGTGTAGGTGAAAGCCAACAGTTTACGGAGACTGTAAATCTTGTGTCCACAGGACAGTGCAATTTTCCCCACCTCATAAGTGTGTGTCTATCTGGTTTTAGAGAGATGACCTGCAAGAGTGAGAACACAGCACTGTCTCCAAAAGGGTTCTTCAGTATCTGTGCTGAGGTCACACATCTACCAGCAAGGAAAAATTGCTGAATCATTTTCCAATGGCTGTCACGTATCAGATGCTTTCTGTAATGACCATCTTACACCAGACAAAGCACAACACAAAGGTGGCGAGCCTGGAGACCAGCCACAGCACCCAGCTACTTTAAAATAGTTTAGGCCACAATTTCACAAGTGGTCAATGATTTTGAGGGCCCAGCTTGAGAGAACATTCAGCCCAGTTTTCAGAGGTGCTGAGAAGACACAGCTCCTATTGGAATAGTGAATGCTTAGAGTTTCTGAAAACTGGACAAGGTAACCACAGCATGAGCTCTCTCAAAAATGGAGGCATCTAAAACCTATTGGGTACTTTGGAAAATTCTGGCCTGAATGTGTGGGTGCCTTTACATGGGCTTCGATGTGTTCCGATTAGATTAATCAGATTAATCAAGTCAGCAGAAGCATTCTAATCAGAACCCTCTAGTGTGCTGCAGTGTTTTGTGTATTCAGCATCCTGCATTTCAAAATGGTGATGAGGGTGCTTTTAACTAATGTTCACAGTTATTTTGATTTAAATACTAAAATCTCATTTTGGAGTAGAAGGCCATTTTGTATATGAATCTCTAGCATACTGCAGTGAAAGAACACTTTCCAAGGGCTGGAATTTAAAGGGGAAAACATTCCCAAAGGCTTACTCTCCCACTAGAGAGAGCAATATTTCTAAAATTCTATGCTCAATAGTGCACTACTCATAGCAGGGATGTTGGCGAGTCTATGAATGTGGCAGTGATGTTATAAATGTACATTAAGAGCACTGTCCCTGCTATCACATACAGAAAAACTACAAATTTCAGTCCCTCCCACTCATTTTGCAAACCAGCAACCCTGACAATGGTGAAAGTAGTCTTACAAATACCTAAAAACATTACTGCCTCTGGCAATGGGATTCACACCCAGACTACTCAGACTGCTCTGCAGAAACCCTTCATGCCCTTGTTGAACTTTAATCCAGATGAACTCCTAGACTTGTATAGAACCCAAACACTCAGACTGAGCTTGTGGAAATGTGTCTCTCTCATCCTGGGACTGCTGAGAACTGGCTTTATCCCTGGTACAGGTTAGAACAGCCATGAAGTCTGCTCAAGCTGACCCTTGGGCTGTTGGTGCATTGCAGAAAAGCTGGGATACAGACACCAAAACCCAATTCCCACATGAGTTTAAGTTCCTCTGGAGCTATGTTGAGTCCAGCTCTGCATCTCCAAAAAAAAGGCTCATTACTCTAGCGGCATACTTGAGTGGGGGGACCTTGCTGTACAGCACCTGTGTACTGGCATAAAAAAGACTACCATGCACTGATGATTTTCTTTTCACTGTCTGTGGAAAGTGCATTCTCTCTGTTCCCATGCTCTACTCCATTCCTGGGCCCAATTCACTCGTATGTAAGAGTTTTGCTTAATGCAGGGCCTATGGCAGGGGAGGAGGGGGAAGGTGACTTCATACCACTCTTGTGATTCCTTGTCTTCTCAACTATTCAGGGACTAGTTAGACACTATCCAGTGTGATTTAGAGTCTTCTCAGCCACAGGACACTGGTGAATGAAGCTCATGATTCATATGTGACATCAGAAGATGCAATGAGGGGAAGATTTCTGAGCCAGCACAGCAGGCTGTCAGCTTGAGAGCAACTTTGAATTTCAGGGTCCATCTCTATTACGGAGTCTCTGCTATGAGCCTGACTCAACAGAGCCTGACTGGAGACTTTGCATCTGCCTCTGGAATGAGTAAGCTGCCTAGGTGTGTTCCCCCCCAACTCTCCTAGCCAGCACAGTGATGCTTACAAAGTTATGTAGTACAGACTAACCTCCAGTTTCTGTCTGAGCACCCTGAACTAATAACAAAATCCTTCTAGACATTTTCATAAGAAATTTTCTTCTTCTCTCCTGATGCTTAGAAAGTGATTTTGTTTTTAAGTAAGAGTGATCCTGGGCTGACAAAGCTGTGAAACATAAATCATACGAAGTGTGAGCAACCATAACCAGGGAAATAAGTTAAAAAAACAAACACACAAAGTTTGTGTCCCTCCTGTCCATCTGCAGTTATTTTAGGTGATACATACAGCAACAGCAGTTACAGACAGAAGTGTGGTTTTCATTCATGCTCTTTAAGCATGTCTGCTAAAGCCTACTTCTATCCTGGTGCACTAGGTCAAAAACACTTGCTTTAAATATTCTTACCAGTGGAAGAAGAATCAGCTTAAAGCTCCAGGCAGGGGAGCTTCAAATAACAATGAGGATCTGCCTTAAACTGACCCCACCATATAATGTAATCAACCCCACCACACAATGTGTGGAATTAAGAATGAAATGGTCAGAAAACTAAAACATCTCATTGGACTTAAACAATTCCTTGGAATTCCACATATAAAGAATGAGCTGACTAGAGACCACTAATAGGTCTGCAGCCAGAATTAGTATTTTTGCCATTGAATTTGATATATTAGGCAAATTTCATGTAGCACTGATGCCCATCTCACTGTAATTAAAGTGCCATCTTCTACTACCTTTGCCAGAAGCAGGTGGTCTGTTATCAGTCTATACTCTGCTTTTAACATCCTCTACCTCACTATGTAACAAACCTTAATGAGGAAATCCCTCCTTCCTCTACCGCTGCATTATATTCTCAATCTCTGGAGAACACAGCTATTGGCTGGATCATCCTGGAAAGCTGAGGGAAACCCCTG